TCACAAGAGGTCTCCGTTCCTTTACTCAGAAGTACAGAAGATCTCTATTGAAAACAAAGCAGCTCCTCAGATGTTATTACTGACTGTAACCACTAGATGTCACTCTTGCCACACTGGATTTCACAGCTCAAATGAAAAGCGTCTGTGGCTCTAAGATCTAGCTGAATTAAAAATCAAACACCTCCTCAAATACATAAATCTACTATACAAGTACTCATATATCGAATCTGTAAAGTAATCATATATTAATATACATCCATCCATGCCTGTCTTCATTTATATCTGCAATGTATATAAAACCATGCCTGTCTCTGCTCAAACACATTTAAAACCTGCTTTTGATCATGTAGATGAGAGACAGTTCATATTTCATATTCATATAAGTGTTGAAGGACCTGTAGCTGCCCTAATAAGAGCCTCTTTGCTATATAAACTCCAGTAAGGACTGTATAGGGGAGATGGACAGCTCCTAATCATTAGGGAGGATTCAGGTTTGGGCTTTTTCACCTCCTCCACTCACTCTCTCCTGTGATCTATCATTCATGGGCTTCATTTAAAATTGCGTAAAATATTTAAAGTTGGTTGGATTTCTTCAGTGGGCTTCAGCGGTGACCTCCCCCTCAGTGCCTGAAGTCAGTGGAGAAAGATATGCAGCAGGGAGAAGGGAAAGAACAAGAGAGAAAAACAGGGCAAAGAGGAAAGGTGTATACGAGACACAGAAACTGTGAAGGAAAAAATGAAGAGCGAGTTTCACTGTTACTTAGCATTGAACAAAAGCTGGGTTCGAAGTGGAACACTAGCTTATATGTAGGCCTACCTAATACTGCACAGTATACACTATATACTGTCTACACTTTAAAAAAAAGAAATAAGTGAAGTGGTATTATTCCACTGTAAGTATGTGAGTGGCATCCAGTTATTATCTTGGAAATTAAAAACTATGTGCATCCCAATTTGCAAACATATGCAAAATTCTTTGCCATTTTGTAGTATAAATAGTTGGTGTTTTAACACTGAAAATTCCAAAAAGAAAAAGTGCACTTTATACCCGGATGATGCGGAAGTTGTGATAGTCTTTTCTTCCCTATTGTGATGTGTATATCCGAGTGAATCGGCTTCACAAACAAGAAAATATGTAGGGCGGGACTTGATTTTGTCCATTGTGGAATTGATTGGATGGTTGAGGTTTGCTATTGGTGGATCTCATGCGAGTGACAGGTCGCCCCGCCTTCATGTCAGTAAACACATCATCAGAGAAGAGAAGAGAAGATGCTGCAAGAGGGAGGGGGAAGTCATTTTGATTAAAGCTTACAGGACACATTAATTTTTAAACAGTAATGATGTGCACAGATTAATCATTTATAACAAATAATATCAGACTCCGATGCTGAATGACAATTGGAGGTCAATTCTAGCACATTGCATTGTGGAACACGAACATTACTGTGCACAGTATACATGTGCTGGAGAAATAGTATGAATAATTGTAATAGTAATCTTACTCGTTACATAAAGTCAACATGAAATCAAAATTGACTTGACCTTCTTGTGTGTTTATGGTCTCGTTGTGAACAATATATTGCCGCATGTTATTCCAAAGAGATAAATATCTTCATAATCTTTCTTTCATAAAAAATAAATAGCTCATTCTGCCACTGAAAAAACTCTGTTTTACCCTTCTTCAAAGGCAACCTTGTCCACGTTGCACAATCCAATCAATTCCCAATGGATTAAATAAAACCCCTTCACTCCAAACCCATTTTTTCTTTATGAATGTCCTGTTTCACTTGGAAATTCATCACATTACGGAAATGAATTGGGTTGAAAATGGTGTTTCAACAACATCTGATCAATACAGTTGTCTCAGACCAGGACCTAACATTGTGGAAAGAACATCTATAAAGTAAAACACTTTTTTTTTTTTTTTAAAGGAAGCATTTTCCCCTTTTATTTAGCTTTGCCGTAGGAAGTTACAGTGAGATCAGTATAATAGAAGACACAGATTGAAATATTCCTGCTAATTGAAAACCTGGTGAAGATACCGTGAGGTGGAAAAACATATCAGAAATACCCGTGAGAATCTGTCCAACGTAAAGGAGATTTACTCAGCCACTGCTAAAACATGTCGGCCCTGGTACAAGTTCACTGGATCGCCATTTATTGTGTGTAGAAGCAAAAGTCAGCAGGGCTACATGGGAATATTTTGATATTCCCTTCCCTGAAACCTGTAGGTAACTAAAAAGGCTTTGACCACATTAACCAAAACTAAAGACCGGGAGAAAAACATAGGAGGAAAAAAACAAACATAAAGAGGCAGGAAAGTAGGAACGCAAAGAATAATCATTGATGTTCGGCATTCACTTATGATGAACAGAATGTAAAAGAAATGATGCCAGATAGTAACAAATCCAAGAAAAGTTTATTATGAATATGGCACCTGTAAGATGGTAAAAAAACTGTGTTACAGAAAGACAACCATGTATGACATGTCGCTTTAACTGATGAAAACCTACAAAAGTATAAAATAACCCTGTTGTAAAATGAAGTATGTACATTTTTGAATTGCAGCATTATTCATGGTAAATGAACAAAAAAAATGTGTTTCCAAAAAAATAAGCCAGGCACTCAAAGTTAGCTTCAGTTAGTTGTTTTTTGTCTTTTTTTCCTCTGAAAACAACAAAACAAAATCAAAATGTACCATAGTTTTCTCTTTTTAATATTTTAATTTGTTTGTACTTAGAATTTATAACACTGTTAACACTGATACTAAGATAATCCCCTTTCTCCCATATTCTTCTACTTGGCACCAAGTTCCTCATAAAAGAATCTGTATAATTGTACAAGAAATAGTTAAAAACACAGACACAGTCTTCACAGGTAAATGAAGTGATTTCTCATATTGTAATTTTAAACACTATTTATCTGACAGCAGCTGAGATTAGTTTAAGATTAAATCACCAGCAATCATTTTGACACAACACAGATACATTGAGACAGCTCGCCCGGCTGTTCTGTTAGTAACATATGGGTGTATTTCCTGGTCCACAGTGTCTGTTTTTGGAGCTGTCCCCAAACCCCCGTCCTGACCACTTCTGCTCTACGTACAAAATGCTAAAATCTAGGATCCTGTTAACCTGCAGCAGCGACGCCAAGCTCTCCTGCAACCGCTCAGACGGCGAGTCCCGTTATCGTCATTTTGAAAAACATTAATATCATGACCTGGGTTTGAATAACAACACGTCTTCACAGAAACCACAGACACAAGTTTCCTGATGTCGGGGGGAAGCCTGATTCAGGTAAAAAGACGAAGGCCCCCCTTCCCCCTTTGCCGGACAGACTAAAAAACACTAAACATCGACAAAGCCGCTGGACCGAACAAAATCAAGTAAACCAAACAATCAACTTAGTAAACATGCATTTCCAAAACACCTATAAAAATAGATTTTATAGTGCGAAATACTTTTTTCATCTCTTTAGAAATCTTTAAAATTGTTTATTGTCCTGAAATACTACTGTCATCTTTTTTTTCTTTTTCTTTTTTGTTATTTCCTGTGAGTTGCAGGGTCATTGAAGTCAACAGGTTTGGTGGAAACCAATGAAATACACCCAATGCACAAGAGAAGCACAAGGGACTCTGGGAATGTTTCACATCTGAGGCTTTTAAGGTTCCAGTCTGCTAAATGCTACTTCAGTTTTTTTATTCCTCATCACGTTTGTTCTGGAAACTGCAATCCCAGAATACCTCAGTGGCAAAAAAATGGCTCCTTAAACCTTTGAGCTAGTTTAGAGTCTTTTATCTCTGAGAAGAGAGAGAGAGGTCTGTAGACTACACAACAGCAAAGCAATAGCAGAAACAGAAAAAAGTAATACATACAAAAAGGAAGCAGCAAAAAAGGTGACACTACATTGGAAGGCCACCACACAAAATCCACTAACCTCCACTGGTTCACTAAGACTGCAAGGGGGCAGGAAGGAGAACAAATGTTTCCCCGTCCAAGCCCGGACTAGCACAGAGAGGACAAAGGACAAAACAGCTACATTAGCTCAGTATATACTGCATATAGTAACACACACTTAAGTTGCTATGGAGACTGACAGCCAATGACACTTACACATTGTACAAGTTTACGGTTATCACGCTGCATAATAGATGACTTGATGGACGGCTGTCAAAGGATGAAGTGACAGTTTTCTTCCGTTTTATTACTTTTGTTTTTTTTAAACATCAAATCACAGTGTTTTAACACCAAACTGTGAGAGTAGTTTTTTTGGCAACAGTGGATAAAAATCATTTTTTGATTGAAAATGCATGTCCTTATTACAATCTCTGTTTGATATGTGATTTTTAGAGAGAGTTTAAGGGGTAAGGGATGAAGGGATACTGATTTCGGAAAGGAAACCAGGCTTGTAAGCTAAAGAGGGAGTGTAAACAATTAAGCCAAACATTTATAATAAAAAAAAATCCTCAAAACAATTAAGAATAGCTCTGACCTAAGCCTGTTGGAGTTTAACATTCATCTTCAAGTTTGTGATGCAAAATTAGCCTCAGTTGCACTGAGAGATAGAAAGAAAAAAAATCTTACTTTAGCGTATCCCTCTCTCCAGATTCATTCAGATTGAGTTAAAATACTCAATGTACCACATGCTCACAGGTAAGTGATGAACATAATAATAATAAAAATCAATCATAACAAAAGAAGTCTGTTAGATGTTTGACTTTTCTGTAGAAAAGCTCTGAAGCCGCCATTTGTCTGGAGTTCCGGAACAGTACCTACATCAGCCAGCTGAGTGAGGGTAACTCAATGATAGCACCATGGATCTGCAAAAAGATGATGATGGAACTGGAGAAATCTCACACTGACCTGTTCCATGTCCTGGGATTTTATAGTAACATTCTATTCACAGGTCAATACCCGGCTAAAATTGCTTTTTTAAATGCATGATTTGCAAGTTGAGCTATAAAAAACGAAGAAAAAGCATTATTTCTAAAATACGAACCTTAAAACCCTTCGAACTACATCAAATAGGGTAACATCCTTTTATCAGCATCAATCTCGATTACATCAAGATACCGTTAGAAACATGAACCGTTTCTTTTCTTGTCAATTTTCTTTTTCTAATACCTTTAAGACATCCTAATGAGGATGTTAGATACTCTGGACAAATATTTCACCCCAGAGAAGACATACGCTACAGTGCTATGAATTCCCTGTGGCTCAGAGGGAACTCTTTACAATAGAGATGAGTCTGTTTAGTCCGTTTAGAGAAACCGTCATCAAGAACTTGTGTGAGGAGGCGAGAAAGAAGAAAGAGATAGAAAGATAGAAAGACACAGAAAGAGAAACCATTCATTTCAGTTACACAAGCTCAATTGCTCAAAATTCAAAGTGCTAGAACATCTCACTTTCCCCCAACTTTGATACACAGTCTTTTTGCCTCAGAAGAGTCTTTTTAACACAGTTGAACACAGTAATATGGTCTCAATGTTTTGCTTCAATCCTCCTTGCGCTCCAGAGTCTGTGTGTTGTGGATGCCGTTGCTGTAGACGGGAAACGGAAGCGTGGAGAAGAGTCCCTCTGCTGTGGTGAAGACGTTAGCAGCAGGCATCTGCGTGAGCCCGGCTCCGCTGACTGTGGCCCCAAAGGGGGTGGACATGTTGAGCCGGTGCACGTGATGGTAAAGCATCTCCATGGGTGTCTTGGGGTCTATGCCGAAACCGGGCCCATCAACAAAGTTCACAGCAGTGTGGGCGTTAGGCAGGAGGTTGCCCTGCATGGCCAGGCTGACATCTGCCGGGGCGTATCGGATCGTTCCAGTGGTGTAGACTCGTGGGGATGCCGTGCTCGTGGCGGCAAGCGTTCCTGTTACTCTGTGCACCAATGGAAGCACCACATTCCCCGCTTGTAACCTCTGCAGGGCTTCCAGATCACTGGTGTAGAGCAGGGAACCGGAGGAGGTGGGCGTACCCTGCTGCTTGTCCCGCGGTGAGGCAGAGAGAGGTGGGGAGAGCGGGTCAGCGGTGGTTGAACTGGAAGGAGGAACCAAGCTGCCTGGAGTTGCGCTGGACACGGAGGTGGGGGCGCTGTTATTGTTGCCACTGCTACTGTTGCCATTGAAATTGGGCTTTCTGCTGCCTCCTCCACCCTCAGCACCAGGTGGAGTGAGGACGGAGTCGGGAATGGACACCTGCAGGCCGGCAGGCGGGGGGGAAGGGAAGGTGTCGTGGGGTTTTGTCATGCTGTAGGGGGACTCGTTACGGGAGATCTCTCGATTGGGTGGGTAGTTCCAGATGCTGCTGTCGTTGTCGAAGTTTATAGGTTCCGACATCTCAGTCTTGATCTTCAGCACAGAGGAACTGGTCGGGGAGGGTGGAAGCAGAAGGGGAGGCTGGTCTCCGAGGGTGGGGTCCAGGCTGCCAGGGCTGGGGGTGGCAGCAGCCGAGGGAGACAGACGGAGACGTTGGCGACTATCATCCCATTTCTGCTTTTTCCTCCTCTTCTTTCTCTTCTGGTGTTTGCTCATTGCCGGCCCGCTCAGCTCTCGTCCACTGTTGCAGTCCTTCACAATATCTTCTGCATCATCCTCTTCTTCTTCTGAGGAGGAGCAAGAGGAGGGCGAGTCCTGCAATTCCTCCACCTCGCCGTCAACATAGCGCTCTACCTTAATGTGTAAACCACCCAGGCGGCCCTCCTTGTGGTCGGTTTCACAGTCAGAAGGTTCCAGGCTATCATCACTGTCCTGACTTTCTGGATTGCTGGAACTGTCTCCTTCCTCCTGTCGTCTCATCTCTTGCTCTGGCGGCCGGCCCGTTTGTTTCTTACTGTCCGTCTCTGGATCTTCACTGTTCTCAGAAGACTGATTCCCCTTCCCACCTGACTTGGAGTTTTCGTTGTCTTCTGGGAGAAAGAAAAAGGTTTAGAGGACAAGTTTCCATTCACATCATCATGTCAAAGTTTATCAGTACCTTGCACAAGAACCATAGTTCACTAAACATGATTAGGACTTTTACAATAAGGGTATTTATTTAAAGCTTTGATAGTTGGGAGAGGTCCAGTTAGACATATACTACGTGTATATATGAACAGGACCTTTGTTTTGGTGGCAGTATTAGCCACTGGTGACTTGTGTATGATGTGTTGTATCATTAGTTTTGTCATGAAAGGCTCGAATTCTGTTCAGAACAAGTGACCTTGATGGGGGGGGGGATTGGAAATTCTGGCCTTAGGAAAAGCATGTCTGCATTGGAAGAGAAACACAGGGAGAGAGATAAAGAGACAGAAAAAGACAGAAGGAGAAGGCGGGGTGTAGAGATGGGTAGGGAGTCTGAGAGGAGAAGAGGGCATGGTTTGGTCCAGCTGCAGCTGGCACAGTCTGTAACCTTTGTGATGAAGGCTGGCAAAAGGCTCGGCAGGCAGAGATGCTCAGGGGCCAATATGTTGGCACTTTCCCCAGACTGTCAACCGGCCTTGTTCATTCACAGCCTCCACCATCTTTGGAATCTCACTTCATCTTCTTTTGGAATGTATAATTAATATCTCCAACTGGCTGTGGAGTTTTAATTGACTATTTACACCAGTTTTTAGGGACATGGCGAAAGCACCACATTTCCTTGTCCTACATAATTTCCAGTAATTATTGGAATGAAGATATTTTACACAATAAGAGACATTTGCATTGGTTAAAAGACAAGTGTGTTGTGTATATAGTGTTTTTTTGAAGACTACTTGATTGTAAAGAATTAAAAACAGTTCCATGAACTGGGACAACAACCATGGAGCAAAAAGAACTGGCTTTAAGTCTCCTTCTCAAGGGCATAATAATGGGTTTAGGGCTTGCTCCATGTGGGGATCAAACCAACAAACCTTCCACTTATTCTGAAATGTTTTGTGGGAAATGGTATCATATTTGCAATGGAATGGGACGAGAGTGGTACGCTACCAGAATTCTCCTTGGAGTCGGATTCAGAATCAGATGTTTCCGAGGACTCTGATGCTTTCTCTGGCAGGTTAGGCAGCTGTGCGATGTCCATAGGTGTGTCTTTGTACTCGGGATTACTGCCCATTAAAAAAGAAACCACATAAAAAGACACATTTAGAAGATAGAAGTCATTCACTTTGCCGGCTGAGAATCATTCACAGCCGTGTGAAACATCCTTCACTCTCTTCTCTAGAATGTTCCAGACATCCTGATTGATTCACTGCGGCCCAAACCACAGAGCATTCTAATGATCTCTCAGCCCGTACACAGACCCAAAAGCAGTTTGAGAAGAGTGGTGCGTTTAGCCTTCGTCATCTTACAGAAGAGCAGACTATTACTAACTCTCTCAAGTGGGAAATACTTTCATCTTGTTACAGTGCTAGATGGAACAAATCAAAATCTAAAGATATGGCATTTTCATCAAAGTAAAAGACTCGTATACCTCAGTACATAGTTGACCCAGATGACGTTTTTTTCATTGGCGTTCTTGGCGTTGATTGCAATAGTGGCACTGGACTGGATCCAGATATAACCTCCATTCTTCTGAATCCAGCGGTAATACTTTGTCACACTTTGACCTTTATTCATTACTATAGAAAGAGGAGATGATACAAGAAAGGAAAGGTGGAGGAAGAGGAAAATAGAAGAGGAAAAAAGGGAATAAACCTGTGAACATTGTAATATATAAAAATGAGACTGCTTAAGTTTTCAAACGTTTACAGCAATACATATACTCAGGTTTAATTACAACAACAACTAATAATAATCGTAATATTTGCATTTAGTGTGCCCAGGTAAAGCTCAAACCTATCCATTATTTCATGCTGTGTTAACATCATGAACATTATTAATCTCCAAAGCCCAGCAGAGGGTGCTGTGACTGTTTGCTAAGGGCTCTGTAATTGTGTCCTTGTCTGAGGCTACTCATGTGAAGACACTGTGGCAGTTGCCATAATTTTGGCTAAATTAAGCGCTAAATGGCGATCTCAAATAATATGAATTTGCATTAATCATTGTTCTGCACAACAGAAACAGTCGGAACCCAAGCACGGCAGTAAATTCAGATTCTGGGTTTAATTACAGCTACAAATAGCCTTTTCCATAAAAAGAGTCCATTGAGAAGAATGATTTATAAAAGAATAAGTCTAGTAATTAAAATCATTACAGACTAATGGCATTGTTTAAGAAGCTGTCCCAAAGGCTCTGATAATTGACTTTAGTTCACCGACTGCTTTCTGTACCAATAAATGTAAAACTAAGCTGTAACTCCAGAAAATTGAGACAAAAAGCCATGAGTTGTTTATCTGACTTGTTCGCTGTGGCCAGTGGGCATGCCCTTGACTCACCTTCATTCTCTTCAACAAAGTTTACACGCTACTGAGAGTCTATGGAAGGGTACACATGGAATGCATTAAGCATTCTAAGTGCTCGGGAAAAATGCATGTGAAATGACAGAACTGATGATAAAATGAACTGCTATGGTAAATATGAACTTTTTTTCTATTTCAAGCTATTTTCTTTTGAAATAGTTTACATTTTTTACAGTGGTAGATAGATGGATGTGCCAGTAATGTACATTTAATTAAGTATATACAGTTTCAATATATTAAATCTACCCCCCCCCCCCCCCCCCCTCCCCCTCCCCCCTCCCCCTCTATCTGTGAACACGTGAGCGGTCCCTTTAAACCCTCATTACTGTCTACAAGTTTCCAGGACATTTTCCCCCCTGCCTTTAAACCTGATCTCATCTACATTGCATTTGATGTGCTGGCCCCCTCGGCTCCACCCGGCACCACGTCTGTACAGGTGAGGCTTATTTTTTAACCCCCTTTCAGTTACGCTGCCATTAAATCAATCAGGGGCTGCTTGAGTTATTGATTTAGTGGTAATGAAGCCACCCCTTTCTCTCTCCCCCTCCTCGCTCTTCTCTTTCTGTATCCCTCTTTTCTTTTTTTTTCCGGTGCAGGAGTCGTTGCCTGCTTTTGGAGGCTTTAAAAGGAATACGGCCTCTTTAATCTGCCTGCCTTCTCCTGGAGCCTCGGGCAAGCCTGCAGGACGGCCTCTCTCTCTCTCTACTTCCGTTCTTTCTCATTCTATCTCTCTCTGCACCAGGGCCTCTGTCCTTCAGTTCTGTTAAATCACTTGGATCCCTTCCATAATAGCAGCTACCTTTCAGATACCCTTTACCCAGCGTGGCCTCACTTCCAGCAGGAGGGGTGGAGGGTGTCACTGTCATATAAAAGTAAGTAATTTACACCCGTGAAATTGCTTTATGGAAAAGTCCTTGCAGTCCACTGGGGTATTATTGTAAAGACAAGCCTTTTATGAATGAGAGAGCAGACATGCAGATCTGCGGCACCTAGGCAGGGTTTGGCTGGACAAGTGAATTGGAGGTTTTTAACTTGTATTCTTTGGATTAAATGGCGAATCTTCACCAGCAGAGGAAGTAAACACGTTGGCCATTTATAGAAACGGTGAGAAGTGAAATTACGACCACTTTCAAGGCATTTAGAATAACAACAAGTAAAGATGCAATCATCTGCTGGTTTTAAAGATTTCCTAGTGTTATAAAATCCAGATTCTAGCTGGTCAAAGCTTGCTTTTTATGGCCCGGTGCTGGTTGAGAATGCTGGTCTAACCAGAAGTCAAACTAGTTGACAACCTTGGCTAAACTGGTGCAAACAACTAAAACTAATTAAAATTACATTAAAACAACAACAAAACATTCAAATGAATCACTGCTGACGTAAATACAGTATATCCATGGATACAGAAACATGTATTTCATATTTACTCTGAATCCATTATGGAAGAAAACTGAAGAAACATTGTCAACGGTACATGCGATGGGTGTTAGAGCAGGTGTATTTTTCCGCAGCTGTGGAGTCTATCTTCAAGCACAATAAGGAGTGAAGGGAGTTTTTCATTAAAGTCAGTTTGAACTACTCTTCAGAGACCGGCTCTTGTAGTCTGCCTTCAGGCACAGAGCTTCAGTCTCCTGGGGTTTCTCCACACTTCTGTGAGCCATCGTTTCCCACCTCTGTCTCTCTCTCGCTCTTTCTCAGCTGGTAAAAACATACACACACACACCCGCGGAGCATTTATGCGGAGAGTATTATACGTAGTCGTGTAACACAGTGTCTTTTATTAATTTAAGCCGTGTTGGTCCTGTTCTGAAGCTGACACAGGTGAGGTCAGAGCTGTCACAATGCATTTCTGCCCATATAAAACACCTGCTCTCAAATGCTTCGTGAGCACCACAGTCGGCTTTCTAATTTTCCTTCAATAAACTAGAGATCATTTTATCCAGTTATAAAGCTGAAATTAAACCGTTAAACAAATAGACGATAGGTCATGTTTTAGCACGTCCTAAAAGTAGTAAGAAGCCCACGAGAGACTGTGCAGTACAGTGAGTTTACCTTAACTGTAGTTCTGTCATGACAACTCTCTGAGTGTTTTGCATGGGTATAACAATATTGATATGTTTGGTCTCGTGGCGGAATAGACCTGCTGCAGAGAGCAAGTTCGGGACTTTTGCCAGTACATACACGACACGCTGCTGTGAGCAGGTAAAACATGCTGGTGTTGTACACATGAATTAACCGTAGCAGATCTATACAGGTGGAGCTGGGGAAGGTGGGGGGTTTTTGAAAGCGTACAGCAAACGCTACCGGAAATGCTAACAAAAGTATTTGAAGGCTGAGCATGTGCGCTCATTGGCTACTGATACAGCAGGAACCAATCAGCTGTGCCCTTCAGAGAATCATGTGATAGTAGTTTGAGTTAGGGACCTATTAGCCTGCGCCATCTAGAATTTCATGACAGAACTTTTATTTAAAACCACTGTTATGCACAACCTTGAATTATTGCTTTTATAAAATGTCTGTAACGGCAATATGAATTAATATAAATATTAATAAACAATTATTCTGCTAATTAATATAGTTCATAAGCCCAACTGTAGGTTGTTTATGGTTGTCTAACCACTTTGAAGATTAGAATCTTGTCTGAACTTCCCGTTTTATAAAGGAGCATAAACAACTCTTTAAGGTCAAGGTGCTCAATTTGAACAGATCTGCTCTAAATGCTTTATCAGGCCCTTAAACACTTGAGCAGTGACCTATGACCTCCAATATGCATCTGTAATATGTCATACATCCCAACGCATTAAGAACACCACCACATGCATGCACTCAAGCCAAAGGACCGCACACGTCACTGCATCTGCAGCACAGATCTGTCGAGAGGTTTGACCAGACTGACACCATCCCTCTTATCCCTGGCTCTAACCAATCTGATGGCCCTGTGTGATCTGATATCAGTGTCTGATTAGCAATCAGCGGGAGATCACTGTATCTGCTCCTTAGTCACGCGCGTCTGTGACTAAGATCTGGCTCTGACACACACGTCATTATAATGCATTTAACCTGTGTTGGGGAATAAAACTAAAAGTAGCAAGTAGTAGTGTGACAGCAGGAATAATTAACAATAATCAAACCCTATCTTAAACTATGGTATCTCTCATTTGAAGGAACTTATGGAATCAGTTCAACCCATTTATCAACCATTTTCTAGTTGTATTAGTTATTGCTACAGTATTTGGTTTAAATGTTTCTGCTCAAATTGAGATTGATTACATTTTTTATTGTTTTTGTACTAGATAAATATGGCTCTTATCGCACAAAAATATAAATAATATCTAACAGTCATTTATTTGAACAAAGATGGTGATAACTATCAAAATATGATTTTTCTTTGACCACAAATATGTAAAAAAAAAGCTTGGGAAGCAAAAATTTCAAACAATGTTTCAACCAGTATTTTATCATATCGAGCATAAACGTACAAAGTAAAATGCAAAAACGGCATCCCTATCCACTCTCTACTGCAGCGACGTGAACGGTCATTCGCAGTGCGGCTAGATTTATGTTGATTGCCGTCACGCTAATGCGTAATAGATGGTTAGAAAGCCAGAGGTAGCTGGGGATGTGCAGTTCTCTCTTAGTGCGTATTCCTCCCTCTCCTTTCACACCATCTCTTTCTCTCTCTCCGCTATCAATGCAATCCAGGGCTTCAGTCCTCTCTCCTTTGACTCCGCTGGGTTTCAAATCAAGGTCTAATGGACCCAATCTGGTGGCTTTTTAAGGCAAAGGGACAGTGCAATACAGTGGTAATTGCGCTCTAATTCAGTTGAACTCCCAATATCTAATCAGACAGCTCCAAATTCCCTTGCCAGCCCCAAGGACACCCACCCTCCTCTGCAAACACCTAATAAAACGAGGGATTTATCCCCCTCCTCCTCCTCTTCCTGTGCCTCAACCCTCACTACTTAAATAATGGCAACCTGCCTGCTGTAGAGCAGCACACACATTTACTGTATAAAACGCTACGCCGCTCTCAATGACGCTTTGAATTTCTGCCATGGTGGTAGAGGGGAGCGGAAAAGGTGTGCTGCCAAAACACACTTAACAGATGATTTAAGATATTCAAGAAGCATGAACGTTCCTCCAGACGGTCAGCGGCCCTCCTGCCGAGCACGATGAAAGCAGAGCGTGCAAAAGGTTGAGGAACCTTCATAGAGCTCTGCAGTGGTGGATCGGCCCAGATGAATACTACATGACATAAAAATGCACTCGAAATGTGGCGACTGTGCTTTGAGAGGAGCAACTAAAGCTGAAAGGAGGAGTGAAATGTGTAAGATGTGTAATGTCAAGCGAACAGAGATTCTCAGCCGCGTTCTGTGCCTTGCAAGCGATATGGGGCTTGTTTGGAAGACGTGCGTTCGCCTACCCGTCTGGCAGAGGGAAACGGTTCTTCATGGACAGTTATGAGAAGAACCGCTAGCATGGATAATCTTGCCTGTCACACTGCTGTCCCATTACGCTGAAGTGCTGCAGTGAACGCATTACACCAGCTTTGGCACGTAACACGGTGTGCTCTCAGGATGTCATTGACCAATGATCAATGAGTCCCGCTAAAGCATGTAAGGACACTGAATCTTGCTCTTTAACAACCATCCTGTAGTTTTTGGCACTGTTGGGTGGCTGCACAGATTGATTGGATGGATACTCACGGTCTAAATGGCTTTGCCGAATGCCTTCCACGTCCTCTGCGTGAATGAAGTGATAACATCTTTTCCCTACGATGTCGACAGGTGTCAGGTCCATGTAGTCGCTGATTCTGGAAAGGATTATTTCAACATTAAATCAAAATTTACACCATTTTGTTTTTTCCACTATTTTTAAGCAGTTCGATTCTTTTTTTGTGCATTGAAAAGCTTGTTTCTACGATGCAACACATTACAGGAAAAGGTGTTGTGATTGGCAATTCATGTTGACTTCAATATTCACCCACAAATCACCATTAAGCATTAGCAGCAGCAAATTATAATAATATATTAGCCATTTGTCAGAACCAATCAGATTCCTGCACTTTTCTGATCCAATAATGCCAGTGGCTACATCATTTTGCAGAGTTGAGCAGTCCACCAAAAAGAAGCCAAACAGATATTACTGTGGGTTATCATATCCTAGTCAATGACAGATTAAAATAGGGCAACGACATGGGCTGCGTTTCCCAAAAGTATTGTGGGCCAAGTTGATTGTAGAGACCATTGGTGGCAATGGTTTTATGATCTACTTAGGCTTACGATGCTTTAGGGAAATGCAGCCCTGATTGGTTTTGAGTCAAGCCTGGTTTCCATTACAGATTTGTGCAAACTTTGGCGATATTTTCTAAATGTTGGAGAAAAAACTATTGCGAAATGACTGCGTTTCCATTAACTGATGTTATGCAGCTAAACAACAACAAACAGTCATTCCAATAATCACGGCAACGCATGTTGGCACCGCACTAGCCATTGTTTCTAATGGAAGGATACGTAGGTGTGTTATCCATGCATTAAAGGGGTCATCGAATGCTAAATTCACTTTTATATGGTGTTTGAATATAAATGTGTCTTTGCAGTGTGTGGACACAACCACCATACAATGAAAAAAATCCATTCACACACTTTTTTTTTTTAATCCCAAAGTCTAAACACACTCAATAATCAAGCCGTTTGGATTTTCTGAGCAATATGATCTCATATTGCTCATGCTCATGCTCCGCCCACGACCACTGATGGACTGTCCCGTATTAGCATATTTCCACCCTCAGCCATTTGTATACTGTCCACCAAAACAGCACTTTATGTGTCTTGTGTGACACCCCCCATGGAAGAGAGGGGTGGGGTGAGCAGTTGCTCATTATCATTTAAAGAGACCTGCACCGAAACGGGTCGCTGTGAACAGAGCTGTTTTTGAAGAGGTAAAAAGGGTGTCGTTTTACACAACCATTGAGGAATTTTAACCAAAGTATGTTTCAAACTTTACATGAAGACCTTGCGAAATATTCCTCTATCAAAGTAAAAACTTTTTTGCGATATATGGGAGTTTTTGCGAAATTGACGTGTTTCCATTGGGCGTATTTTTAATTTGCGCAATTTGAAGGGTAATGAAAACGCAGCTTCTGATAAGGAGATTCTGATTTCCCAGCCCTTCTGTAAGCTAAATGTATAGTGCACCAGATTTTATTCATTAAAAAGGTTTCCATCTGTGATGGCAAGCTGTCAGCCTGTTTTCATTATAGACGTAATATTTTCTGACCTACTGTAGCTTTACCAACTGCTTGTTGAATCTAAAAGCAATTATCACAGAAGTATTGAAAATGTGAAAAAAACAGGTGGTTAAAACCATACAAAATGCCTTTCAGTAGGGCAATACTATTAGCAGCGTATTTCAAGACTTTATTTGACTCTAACCTGCAGTCCTTCTCTACACGGATCAGAGAACATGGCCAGTATAAAAAAAAAACTGGCTAACCGATCTCTATCCACCTCCATTTTAAAGCAGGCTTTTGCTGTGATGATAACTCCGCTATAGACTTGGCCCGATTCCATTCTCTCATAAATATGTTAAGTGCAGGGGAGTGGTAAAAATTTTAGCAGACGCTGGGAGGACTTCAATCCCAGAGATATAAATAAAACTAATAAAACTAATATGATATTTCCTTTCAAGCCAGTCCAAATTAAGATGTTCTCATTTTATGGGGCAGCAGTGGAACCACAGATGTTTTGTAAGTACAAAAGAGGGGTTTTTCTCGGCCAGCTTTTTAAAATGAGCGATAGATGTTGAAACAAGGTCATTCTGGGATTGCGTTTAAGCAGAACTCATCACTATCAGCTATATAATGAACTGCATTACTGTGTGGCTGATTATCCACTCTTGCAAAACACATCTTCACCCGCTGATCCTTCAGTTCTACAACAATGTCATATTTTGAACTCTAAGCAGCTGAAATTGAAATTCTTTTTGCACCATTTATCATTCTTTAAGGCAGATAAAAAATCTCTTAAATCAAACTGCACACGGTAATAGGCAATACATGCCGTATAAGCTTTGCAAAATAAAACGAAATTATTGCCCTCTTTAGTCAACATGAAATGACATCACCAAGGCTAAATATATCAATTATATATTATATAAAGAGTGTTACCTGTTTTCACAGTAGACGATGTTGAGATCCATGTTGACCCGTGTGACAAACATCTGGCAGTCGATCCGAACCTCATTGATGGTTGGCGGAGGAAGTGCGTGTGCCACCACGACCATGCCCATGATTTGATTGGGTACCGAACGACTGTGTGTTAATGCCATTCTTATCCGCAGCCTGCCGGTAACGTGGATGACCTTGAAGAGGACACAAAGCGGAAAATTACAAACAGATCAGATGCAATCGTCCCCTCAATTACACACAAACCCTTTAGTAAGTATCAAACCACAGTATAAAGATAAAAGAAAATAAACCAGATGAAGTCAAATAACCTCTGCAGTCCTTCTCTACACGGATCAGAGAACATGGCCAGTATAAAAAATGGCCAACCGATCTTTATCCACCTCCATTTTAAAGCAGGCTGAACTCAGAAAACAGACAAAGCTGTTAGATAATCCAATATGTACTCTGTGCACTAGTATACACTTGACCAAGACTCTCAGGTTCTTGTAGCAGATATACACGTTCACGAAATATTAAAAAACACAAAGCACAATTTCTTTCTGAAATAATCAAGAGATAACAAAGGCAGAGCAACTAATTACTTTTTCTCTGGCTTTAAAGTTTGTAATGCTTTAAAGTCTTTTGTAGCACATTTTGCCAAGAGGATGCATCGACTAGATTGGTAACAATGTTCTTTTTTGGATCCATCCATTTTAATCACCAAGGGAAACCTGGAGGGGATTGTTTTTGTAGTGTTTTAAACTTCTGACACTACCTTTCATTGGTTCACCTCAGAGATTGGTGAGATGCTATTAGCATCATTCATATAGACAGTCTGGGCCCCGAAGTCACCGAGTGCTCAGGCCGGCGGGGCTCTTTGATGCTTTGTATGTTTTCCGCTGAGGGACAAGCAAACCCAAACCCCAGGAACGACGGACTGCCACAGCCACTAAAAAAGAGTGATTCTCCTGGTTTAGAGTTGAGAGAGTTTGTTCGAACTTCACAGAATTCAAAAGCCATCTCAAATCAGGGGCCAATTAAAGACGACTGCAAAGTTCAATGATGTCACATCTGTCCCAGTTTACTTTGGGCTTATATTTTGTTTTTTATTTTAATACAAATATTTTGTCAGAATAACAAAAATGATATTTTTTCTGGAATTTTCATCTCGCTAAAGTTCTCCAGAATTAGTAGCTGGATAGCAGACAAATAACAGTCATGACCTTTTTTTCTAGATTTTAGGTGGTTGAAAAGGGTTAGTTAATTTTGTTATTAATTACTCACCCTCATGTCGTTTTAAACCCATAAGGCATTCATTCCTCTTCAGAACACAAATGAAGATATTTTTTGATGGAATCTAAGAGCTTTCTGTCCCTCTATTAAAGGGGTCATATAATGGTACATGCACTTTTACAAGTTGATTGTACTGAAATGTGTGTTGGCAGTGCCTATACACAACCATCATAAAATGATAAAAATCCATCCAGTGTTTTTGTTTTAATCTCCTTATATGTTTTCCCCTGTGTCAAATCAAGCCGTTCGACCGTGTGACGTCACACGGTCGGAAGCCCCTCCCACGATTGTTGATTGACAGCCGCGTTTCAACACAGACCCGCCCTCGCTCGTGAGGGAGCTGTCAATCATAGTCTGCGTGGACCGGCGCGGTCATTGTTGATGTGCCGGAGCACTGTCTATGAGCAGAATGGCGTCTAAGCGATTGTGGTGTTCTGTTCTTGGGTGTAATAACGAACACAGCAGTCATTTTAATGTTCCTAAATCCGAACCCCTGAAGACGCAGTGGCTGAGTTTGTTTTCGAAGGGAATATTCCCCACGAGCAACGTCAATGCTTTCATGTTTGCGCGAATCATTTCACACACCAGACTGCTTTATAAACGAGGATCAGTATAAAGCTGGATTTGCTAAGAAGCTGCTCATGAAAAAAGGATCGGTACCAGATATTCGTGTTCCTGCTGAACCTCTAGAACAACTGAAGTGAGTGTAACGTTTTATTAAACTTTATATTAATATTTATATTAATCTTTGCAAATCGCTAGCTGCACGCTTCACAATGAATGCGTCTAAGGTTTACACTCAGGGTACATTACAGCATGTTTTCTATGTATGATGTTCTCAATATAATTCATAATCTAAACGTTTATACTGAACAACGCGTTATGGTTATTGTGTTACTGTGTTACAAACGGTGTAGCACAGAACAGAGAGGCGGGGTGAGCAAAGCTCATTATCATTTAAAGTCATATGCACTGAAACGGCGTGCTGAAAACAGAGCTGTTTTTGACCAAGTAAAATAAGTGTTTTCTTACAATACTAATGAGAATTTGTAATTAAAGTATATTACAAACTTTTAATTTAGACCCTAAAGAATCATACTAGCTTGTACAAAAATGGCATTATATGACCCCTTTAAGCAACTACCACTTTCAAGCCCCAGAAAGTGGTAGTTGCTTAGGCTGTCAATGGAGGGAAAGAAAGCTCTCAGATTTCATCAAAAATATCCATTTATGTTCAGAAGATGAACGAAAGTCTTACGGGTTTGGAACGGCATGAGGGTGAGAAATGAATGACAATTCCCTTTTTGGGTGAACTAACCCTTTAATGGTGGTGGTTGAGGAGAATCCCCCCTCCAAATGTGAACAGCGCTTTGAGTACCGAGAGAAGTGCTATAAATTTTATTTTAAAAAATGGTGATCTAACATATACATTTTCTTTTCTATATTTGTATACGTTTCCAACCATTTTTCATAGCACAAATATTTCATGTAATATCTCAACTAAGAGCTGGTCATAAAAACAGCATGCAACAGTTTTGAAACTTGTTGAATAGGTATTCTTAGAGAAATGACTGTTTGTCTCTGGCCTTCGATGACTGTGTATTATCACGAAGTGAGCGAGCATCAGCTGTTGCCGAGCTTCAATAAGACATCACAGCATGCTGCGATCAGAAGGTGATGTCCAATTACGACCGATATCAAACCCATGCCCGCATTCTTATAAACAGCGGCACACCAGAGAGCGCCAACCCACACAAAACACACGCCGCCCGCCTCCAGAATACACATCCATCTCCGCTTGCGTATAACACTGGATCTTTCAATAAATAAACACTGAGTCGTATTAAAAGCATACAAAATGGAAATGATTCTACTGAAGCCCAAAGCGAGGGGCATCAAAAGTTGTATTTTCCAACTAACTTTTTGAAGTAATTGCCACAAAGAGAGACTCGTCGGTGAATTGCTGCAGGAGTGCTCTTGGCAAGAACATCATAAGCTCTGGCAAAACATTAAATATGCTCAGGCTGCTAAATGCAAACTGACATGGCAAGGGTTCACCGCGGCCGCAGCGAGAGGCAGCCGCATAGCATATCTCAATTTAATACAAGCCAACATAACAAAGGGATCAATTTTTATAATTCATGGTTCAGCACACAATGCTCTCTCTCTTTCTCTCCCCCGCCCGTCACCGGGTCGGTGAATATAGAATAGGTATACATAAGAAATAAGATTCATCTGTTCCTAGGGATTCTCTGGAGTGCTTTTGAAATGCGATACGGCACAAGTAATGATAGAGAGCTTTTACATGAGTGCATTAACTTAGCCGGGGGCCGAGACGTCTTGGCAAAAAAAAGAAAAGACTGGTTTAAGCTGGAGAAGAATTTACTTTGATTTGACCTCCAGAGTGAAGAGGAGATATAAACAGCCATGATGCGCGCCGCGCTCCGCCTCGCACCTATCACCTAATGCTGGCGCGCCGTATGCAAAATTCATAGTTTTGTATTATGTAACAACACAAATATTGACTTAATTTGGAGTAAATGCAATAAGAAGTGTCCTTGTCTGGCTGGTAATATATGCGAATGTGCATGCGTGAATATTTATGCTATGGGTTAGTGCGCTCCCCGACTTCACGCTTATTTGCATCCAATCTATGTCCAGATGGATGCAGCGGGGGGGGTTGGATCTCAGTCGTTCACTCAAAGACACATCCAAACAATCACCTACTTCTCTATTTACAATCTGATTGACTCTGAAGTAGTGTCACGATACTGGAATTTCTAACTTTGATACGATACCTTGAATTTTTTATACAACAGGGAAAACCGCTAAACAGACTTTGGCTATGTTTACACGGAAACGATCTGAAGAGAAAACGCAAAAGTGGCGTTGCGTTATCACTTTTTATTCTGCGTTTAGACGAGCGTTATGGTTGGGAAATCCGCGTGCAAATGGTGACGCAAAACTGTGTGAAATTCGATGTAGTATGCACTCCAGGCGGCTAGGTGGCAATGTGAAGCACTGCCACACAACAACACCAATATCTTAGAATATTTTGTACAACTGCTGAAAAGACTCTTGTATGTTTTTCAGAGCTGCTAGGGCAACTTGAAGGTCCGACGTATGGAAATAATCTGACATGTTGGTTGTTACTTTCGTAGATTTGCGTTTTTACCGTTTAGACGGGAACGCGACGGTGGAGCGTTTTTAAGATTTCCACTCTGGAGGGTGGTTTCACTTTTTTGCGTTTTTAAGCCCCCAAAGCGTCGTTGCCGTGTAAACGAAAGGCACATCCGATACAATATTTTTACGTTTTCACCCGGAATCGTTCTCGTGTAAACGGGGCCTTTATCTCATAATTCTTTGATAATTTGGGTAATTTTGTTGCAATAGCTTATACACAGTAAACCGTCAGTAGTAAAATAATTTTTGACAATTGTAGCAATAAGCCACGAAAAATAGGTACATTTGGTACTCGTGAGCTTTACCCGCAACACCGCCCTGAGATTCAGGACCTAACACCCAACACTATCCACTATTCAGAGAGGAGACGGGTGTGTATCAATTCACCCGCCGGAGAGAAGAGAGAGCGAGAACACGCACCTGGTTTACTGCCGAAAAGGAGAATTGGAATCATTTAAGATATTTCCGTATCAGTATCGAAATATTGATATTTTTGACAACACTACACTAAGCCTTCGGTGATCTACTTTATCAGGGGTATTGGCTATGGTTGCAGCATTAAGAAGCACAAAAGGAGCCACTAATAACTGGTCCTGAATGCCCTTGTGCATTATTCCAATAGTACACTATTATAAATCATGCCAACATACATTACCGTTCTAAAGTTTTGGGTCTTTAATATATAATTTTAAGAATATAATATAATTAATAAAATTATATATATATATTATAATATAATTTTAAATAAATCTTTTTTTTAAACATTATAAATGTCTTTACTGTCAATCTTGGTCAATTTAATGCATTCTTGCTGAATAAAATGATTAATTTCTTTTTAAAAAAAAACAAAAAAACTTACCGGCCCCAAAAGTTTTAATGGTAAAGTATGAACTTCTTTACAAAACAAAAAAATTCAGTTTAATAACATTTACTAAAATTCACACAAAACCTTTTAAAACAGACAATGTGCATAATTGACCAGAGCTTTAGTAGATTTTAGCAATGACACTAACACTTCCGTGACACACTGATTATGACACACGATATGATACAAGACTGAAGTGAGTTTTCATTTCTTTTAGAACAAGACGAGCAGTTTTACCTTGTATCCAGAGGACTTGATGTGGACGCCTCTCTTGGTGAGCGTGGACTTCATTCGGATAAAGAAGGAACGTTCTAGAGTGTTATCCGGCGACAGAAGACTGGGGCTGCTCGACTCCACTGCGGAAACAAACAACAAACATCCCATTACAACACTGAAACAATACACAACTCACAGACGCAGAGATAGCAGACTGCTTTAGTGAGTATGATGTGCAATATCTTCTCATTGAGTTTCTATCATCTCTTGGTAGACAGTTAATGAAACAGCACAACCTGATAAGGGGGAAGGTGCTAATCAAACTTTGACAATGTTTTAATTGTATTTACTAATAGCATGAAGCGGAGTCTTGACTAACATAATTGCTTTAAACACTACATGGCAAATGAATAAACCTCCCCAAGCTGGTGTTAGATGTATTTGCCTTCACGGGAATGTGTAAATTAGGAAATGGGAAAATTAAGAAGAGAGCAATCTAACAAACTTGGTTTAATAAGAATTCACCCCGCAACACCCTAGCATTGTAGTGCTGAGCTGTGGATATGCAAACACCTCTCACATTTGCTTCACAAAACATACACATAATCACAATATAGAATTTTCAATGACAGCCAACAAAACAATATATTTCTTATACTATAATACATCTCTTACCAGATGAGAAAGAAAAAAGAAAAAAGATTTCTAGCCTTGATGTTAACACAAGGACACCTGGCGAACAACGGAGGTTCTGCTAATTTGCGGTAACGCGCTTGATTAAAGCTATATTAATTGCACATTTTAACTAGTTTTGACATTCAATATTATACAAACAGACATCAGAGGAGGTCCAGCCTGGAGAAAATAAACTCTATTAAAATAAATTTTCCACAGTATCAATAGTTATATTTACTTTTAGTTATATTCAAAAGTTTGAAAACATTACAATGTTTTATTGTTTTAGAAAGAATCTTATGCTCACCAAGGCTGCATTTATTTCATCCAAAAAATCTCTTTCTCTTTTGCAAAATATTATGACAAAATAAAAGAATGGTTTTCTATTTAATTTTTAAAATGTAATTTCTTCCTGTGATGGTAAAGCTGTATTTTCAGCATCATTACTCCAGTCTTCAGTGTCACATGATCCTTCAGAATCATTCTAATATGATGATTTGCAGCTCAAGAGACTATTATTATAAATGTATAATGTTTTTTTTTTGCTGCAAAATATTGATACTTTTTTCATGATTCTTTGATGAATAGAAAGTTCAATAAACAACATTTATTTGCATTTATTAAATGTATTTATTAAATTTATTAAAACATTAAATATAAATCTTTTGTAACATTATAAATGTTTTCACTGCACAAATGTTTGATCTTACCACAAATGTTTAAATCAGGGGTATTTAATCAAAGAGGTCCTGTCTCTAAGTCCACATAGACAGCAGTTGTACTTTGTAAAACAGAAGAAAAAAAAAAAATCCTAAATACCGGTAGTAATCATAGACTAGTATATTGGGCTCTCAGAGCAAAAGCAGTTACAATATTTCAAATAGATACAAAAAATTTAATAATCTGTTAAACTCATTTATTTATTTTAAAGGATAAGATTGTATGTTTTATCAGGCTGTTATTATTTTACATTTAGATATGTAAGCCAGAAGGTCATGTGACAGAAAAGACACTTTATGTGGGTTCAGGGTTTTCCTCTTCAAGTCTGGAACATTTTTATATTTTGCTTAAAATAAGCATCTACTAAAAACAAACAATGTACAATCAAAATGCCCTCATCACGAGCATAATTCCTGAATGATCATGTGACACTGAAGACTGGAGTAGGCTAATCATTCTGAAAATTCAGCCTTGTCATCACAGGAATAAATTACATTTTTAAACTTATTAAAATAGATTATAATTATTTTAAATTGTAAAATATATGTTACTGTATTTCTGATCAAATAAATGCAACCTTGGTGAGCATAGGAGACTTATAAATTATAATGGAAAGGGAAATGATAATGTTTCCAAACTTTTGACAAGTACTGTATCATTTGTCTAAAACAATGTCCAACAGTAGACATACATGCATCACAAGGGAATTCTGTAATTTTTCTTAAGTTATGAGCATTTTCAACAAAACAAGTTCCCGAATAATGTATAATAGCATTTTGTTGTGGTAATTTGAAACAATGTTTTAGTGAAATTTGATAAGGGGACAAACTGTGTGCCATAATTATAATCATAATTTGTGTAAAAATGTGTTATTGAAATAACTGTAATCATTTTCAATAAATATAATATAAATATTAAAATATTGAAAACAAGAAATAATGTAATTGTGTATATTAATTTCACATCAATCATAGTAATTAAATGCACTTTTATTTTATGATGAAATGTTCATAGTTTAAGATCTGTCTCTTGGACAAGAATAAAATATATGTATAATAGGCATTTGGAAAATAACAAAAACATGAACAAAATCTGTCTTAAAAAAAATCAACCCCTGGGACATAAGTGTAGTTAAAGAGAGAGACACCCTAAAATGGTTGTGGGTGTGGACTGCTGTATTTCCCATTCTCTCTCTCTCTCTCTCTCTCTGAGAACATGAATTAAATGTCATTTAAAATCTAACTAGTCCTTTATCACTCTGGGGAAAAGGCAGAGCCATGTTATATTTAGTCATTTCATTTCTTCTGATTAAATATGAATTACTATGAAATTTTTCTCATCATCTAACACACAAGAATATGCCAACAGCTTTTTAATACACTATATAAGCACAAACTTCAGCTCTAAGAGTTTAATTCGCCTCTCTAATCCAATCACATCAACCTTATTTCTCTTATCAGAAATTCCCATTTTGAATTAAATGAGCTCATTAGTTTTAATCAAAGGCAGAGAGATCAAAACTTGCACTTAAATGCTTTAGATCAGAGCTGTCAGTCAAGCGTAGACTTCTATTTGACTAAAACACAAGATCAGAGGCCGTTGCATCTCACCGTTTTCATTAAGAAAGAGACAGGCTCTAAGATACGCCGTCCTTTTTTTTTCTTCACGTGCGGCGCTTGGACGGAGAGAGGTCACTTACCACGTGCCCTCGGCGACCTCGCTTTGCTGATAATGACAGGAATATGAATTATACAGTAAAACCTTTGCGCCAGACACACACTCTTGCCTGAACATTATACACTAAATTTCAGGATTCCCCTCGTGCCACTGAACAATAACAAAGAATGGGAAGAATGAGACAAAGTAAATTGATATATATTTCATCAACTGATTAATTTGAGAAATTAATTAGCATTTTATGTAATTAATTCATTTTAAACCAATTTTAAGTATGTTCATCGAACACAAAAGGGCTCATCGAACACGGCTTTGCTTTGTCCTTAATTTCCCCATAGGGATCAATAAAGGAAGTCTATGTCTGAGTTATGCTATTATGCTAAGTTATAACATTAAATGCTATTTAGGGAAAAAGCAGCATTTTCTTAAATAGTAGCTAGCTGCTAGTATATCATTAAACAGCGTGCAATGATAACAGCATATATTCATTGTATATGATTAGGCTATATGAATTAAAATCATAAATAGATGCTGCTTATTGGGACATTACTTGTCCCTATCCCTAATTCCTTCCTAACACTTCCTTCCCACTACTAAATAGCTACCCGTTAGGCATCTTATTTCCATGTGTATGGTAAAAAGGGAGAAAAATTAGTTGGGAAAAATGCTGATTCAAACTCGGGTCAGTCACGTCAAAAGCCAATGCCACCCGCTTTATTCTCCACACACCACTGATCCTGTTATCTGCAGGATTTCTTTTGCAATTTTGTCTGGCTCAATCGGGCACTGGTGGGCAGAGTTACTGTAAATAGCCTCTGCCAGTGCCAACAAGTCAGGCTTTTGCACTTGGTGTAAATAGACGCTCAGTCAAAAAAACAAAAAAAATACTGATAATACTGAGAATCAACAATCAGCATTCAGGTGTCTGATACACTGTCTACCAGGGTAACGTGTAAATACATTTACTGTATGTTACCTCTGTGCTAGGTTAAAAAGTCTATTTGAACGCAGCATGTGGAAACACCTCAAAAGAAGATTTGCTGCATGTCAAAAACCTGTTGTTTTGTTGACATCTGAGTTTCCAGTGCTGCCATGTCTGCAGTCCAGCAGAGCCCACTGTGGCTGTAGGAACATGGGCAGATCTGCTAAATCATCAATATCATCCAATCCATGAGATTAAGGGAATCTGCAGCGTGTGTCGAGAGAGTCTTATGTGCTCGACTTAAACCTACATCCCCACAATGCACCTGTGTTCCAGCAACAGCACAACACTCCACACACTGGAACTTTTGTTTTTGGGTTGTGTATGTGAACTCCCTTACACTTCAATCCAAGTGGGACAATAACACAGAAAAAAAAAACATTAAAATCTAGACAATTCCACAGACATCCTCTTTATTCTTTTGTAGAGTTTAAAGGTACACTATTCAACTTTTTTTTGTTCAAAATGAACAAAATGTGTTTTTGTCTTACCCTGATTCACTATGGTGAATAAAAGTGTTTATATTTTAGACCTAGCGAGATGCTTTTCGCACAAAATTGTGTACTTGCGTCCCTCATCCGTGCGTGTCGCGTCGTATCCGTAAATAGAGAAAAGTTACTTTGACACGTGGGACTGGCGTAGGTCAGTTGTCACAACAAGCAAGAAAAACTCAAACCTCTGGTGAATCACCCGTTTTAAAACAATGCCGAATAGAGGAGCTTCTGCTGACAAAAAGAGAACGCGACAGAGCTCGTAATAAAACAAGAATCAACATTGGCTTGGCTTTCGGAGACGGTGAGAACCGAGGGATTTGAACTGTTGTAAAAGCGACGCGGAGATGGTGTTTTTATTACTCATCTGGTGAGTAAGGTGTTTAATCGAACAGATAAATAGTCATATGTAGCTCTCTAACAGAGTTCATTGTAAAGCATTATTTATTGTGAAGGTCATTTCATTATGGCTGTTATTTTCAAGGAAGTACCGCATCTATTAACAGGTAAAGCTACAGTGACATCTTCAGCCAGACCGCTTGAGATCCTTTCAATCTAAACTGGTTATATCTCTTAAGACTAATAGTGAATGTTT